AGTTCCATGGGGTTGAATGTGTGTGGCGAGGATGTGGAAGAGTTGGTGGAGGACCACAATGAAGAGCTAACCACTGAAGAGCTGCAAGAGCTTCAGCTGGAACAGCAACAGACCACAGTTCAGCATGTTGCTTCAGAGGAGAAGGGAGAGAGATGGACAAAGGTGCCTTCTTCAGAAATTATGGAGATTTGTGCAGTGTGGAGTAAGATGGAAAGATTTGTGGAGAAACATCAACTTGACAAAGCTGTTGCAAGTCGTGTCGGCAACATGTACAATGACAAAGTCTTGTCCCATTTTAGGGAAATTTTAGAAAGATACCAGAAACAGAGCTCTCTGGACAAGTGTTTAGTGCCACAGGTGTACAGTGACTCTCAGGCTGGTCCTAGTGGCATAAAAAACAAAGAAAGGAAGTTACTCTGAAAAAGGACTTGGTACCTGAAGTCTTTATGGAAGGGGATCCTCCTTCCAAACAGTAATTAATCCAACCTCTCCCCTCCTCCAGTCTCCTACACACTAAATAACAAAAAAAAAAAAAAAAAGGCACAATACCGTGACTGGAACGATAGACAAATAACCCGCACATAGTAGAAGGGAGCTTACGACAACGTTTCTGTCTGACTTGTGCGGGTTATTTGTGTATTGTTCTATACACTAAAAAGAATCGCCAATACAGGTAAGTGTTATGCTGTTAATGTTTCATTCTTCATGTTTCATTGTTTTCTGTGTATGTACATCTATCTTTCTTGTAAAAGAATTACTGTACGTATTTTGTTTTAATATTTCTGGGTGTCTGGAATGGATTAATTGTATTTACATTATTTCTTATGGGAATAATGGTTTCACAAATCATTAATTTCGGTAATAGTCACACTCTGGAACATTTTAATTACGAAAAACGAGGGACCGCTGTACAATAAAACTCAGTTTTCGTCTGGTCCAAATATCGTACAATTGAGATTTCGACCACTTTTTTCGGCGAATTTTTACTCTGGGTTTCATACATCAACTCAATGACCCACCTAGTCAGGTCACTTCCACTTAAGGAAGGAGCACGGCATCAGACCTAGTAGCAGAAGCTAGTCAGGTCCAACTCACACCCGCCCACACCCACTCATGTATTTATCTAACCTATTTTTAAAACTACACAGCATTTTAGCCTCTATATATATACTCAGGAGTTTGTCCCAATCATCCACAACTGTTACCAAACCAATGCTTTCCTATATCCTTCCTAAATCTGAATTTTTCCAACTTGAAACCATTGCTGCGAGTCCTGTCTTGGCTGGAAATTTTCAGCACGCTATTTACATCCCTTTCATTTATTCCTGTTTTCCATTTATACACCTCGATCATGTCCCCCCTAATTCTATGCCTTTTGAGAGAGTGCAGATTCAGGGCCCCTCAGTCTATCTTCATAGGGAAGATTTCTGATACATGGGATCAACTTTGTCATTCTCCTCTGTATGTTTTCCAGTGCATTTATATCCATTCTGTAATACAGTGACCAGAACGGTGCAGCATAATCTAAATGAGGCCTAACCGAGGATATATAGAGTTGAAGAACAACCTGAGGACTTCTGTTATTTATACTTCTAGATATGAAGCCAAGGATTCTGTTAGCTTTATTGCGAACACTAATGCACTGTTGTCTTGGTTTTAGATTACTGCTAACCAGAACTCCTAAATCCTTTTTGCAATCGGTAGTATTAAGATCTACATTATTTAGTTTATATGTGGCATGTTATTTTCCTGTCCAACATATAGAACTTTGCATTTGTCTATATTAAACTGCATCTGCCACTTCTCTGACCATTGCATCTAGTGTCCTCATTAGAATGAATTGGCCATCCTGTTTTGGTGTCATCAGCAGATTTGCTTATGTCGCTATTTATTCCCTCATCTATTTCGTTTATGTAAATTGTGAACAACAACAGGCCCAACACTGACCCCTGCGGAACATTGCTTGTGACATGCCCCCATTCTGATTTCTCCCCATTTATGCAAACTCTCTGCTGCCTATTTGTCACCCATGCCTCTACCCAGGAAAAAATTTCTCCTATTCCATGTGCCTTAAGTTTCCTCAATAGCCTCTGATGTGGAACTCTATCAAAAGCTTTACTGGAGTCCATATACACAATATCATATTTATTACCATGATCTACCTCCTGAAACACCTTAGTGAAAAACGTTAGTAAATTCATAAGACAGGAATGCCCCTTTGTAAAACCACGTTGAGATTCATTAATCAATTTATGCCCATCAAGATGGCTATGAATTGCTTTGGCAATTATTGATTCCATAAATTTTCCCACTATTGACTAAGGACCTGTCACCTGCCTTGTAAATAGGTATATTACATTTGCCATTTTCCACCTATCAGGCACTATGCCAGTTTGTAGTGATATGTTAAAAAGATTAGCCAAAGGTATCCTAAGGTCCTCTAACACCCTTTAACACCCTTGCAAACAGTTCATCAGGGCCTGGGGATTTTTTTTTTTCTTTATTTGTCTGAGGACCATGTCACTAGTTACCGCAATCTTGCATAGTTTATTATCGTCTTGTTCTACATAATCTATTATTTCAGAAATATCGCTAGTATTTTCCTGGGTAAAAACTGAGAGGAAGTAAGTATTGAAAATTTCACACATATCCTTATCACTGTCAGTGATCTGACCTTAGTTACTCTTAAGTGGACCTGTCTTGTCCCTAATCTTACTTCTGTATACCTGAAAGAACCCTTTTGGGTTAGTCTTCGAATCCCTTGCGACCTTAGCCTCATAATCCCTTTTTGCTTTTCTTATTCCTTTTTTTATTTCTCTCTTTAATTGAATATATTGATTTCTTAACTGCCCATCCCCTCTTTTGATACACCTATATATGCCTCTTTTGACCAGTGAGATGTTTTAGTCTATTGTTCATCCATTTGGTATCATTTTTGTTAGATCTAATTTCCTTACTCAGAACAAAAGTTGTCCTGGCAGCTAGAACTATGCTTTGATGAACGTCATATTGGCAACCAAGATCACCTTCCTGACCCATAGTCAGGTCATCCTAATTTAGCCCACCCAGGTAATTTCTCAATCCCATGAAATTGGCATGTATCCTCTCCCTCTCCCCTCCTTGCCTTCTTCCATATGCCAACAAGAGTTTTCAATAAAGGTATGTAATAGTTATTTAAATTCAATCAATTCAATTCAATTCAAGTTTATTCTCTATAATGGTTACAATGTGGGGTTTACAGGTTTTGGGTATTTTGTGGTTTACATGTTATAAAATACTAATTACAGAGGGGGCCACTAGGACACCTAGCATGGCTAGGCATTTCGAGCAGACTTAGATTAATTCTTAACATTAAATCCTTACAGATTATGGTATTAAGGCTAAGTGACTACATCATAATTTGTGAGTTTAGCAATGTGAATGCTTTTGTTTTGGCACAATACAAGGTGTCTATATTTGAGTATCATAGGCAAACTTATGACTAGTTAGGATTTATTATTTTAAGATTAAGATTAGTATTTCTGGGTTTATAGTCAGTGGGTGAGTGAGTGTAATTTTGAACTACCAGGTGGTTATCATGTAGTTAGTTGTCGGGGTGGATCAGGGAGATAAGATGGTTTCTAACTGTAGTTTTGAAAGTGATGAATGTGTCTGCAGTTCTAGAGTTTTCAGGTAGGGTGTTCCAGATTTTAGATCCTTTGAAATACATTGAATTTTTGTAAAGGTTTAGTCGAACACTGGGAATGTCAGAGATGTTGGTGTCTGGTGTTATGCCTGTGGATCCTGTCACAACTATGAAGAAAGCGTTTTAGGTCAAGGTTAATATTGGAATTTAAGGTCCTGTAGATATAGATTGCACAGTAGTAAGTGTGGATGTACTGAACAGGGAGTAAGTTTAGCTCTATGAAGAGTGGGGGGGGTGTGTTGCCAGGGATGGGATTTAGTGATTATTCTTACTGCGGCTTTTTGTTGGGTTATTATTGGCTTTAGGTGTGTTGCTGCAGTTAAACCCCAAGCACAGATAGCATAGGTGAGGTATGGATATATAAGTGGTATAGTGTGAGAAGGGCAGTTTGCAGTACGCAGTATCATATCTTGGAGAGGATCCCCACCGTTTTGGATACTTTTTTTGTTATGTGTTGGATATGGGTGCTGAAATTTAGGTTGTTGTCGAGGTATAGGCCAAGGAATTTGCCCTCATTATATGTTGTCGATCTTAATGTTAAGCTGCGCAACACCTGCTCTGCTACCAAACATAATATAGTAGGTTTTGCCAGTGTTAAGTGTAAGTTTATTGGCTGTCATCCAAGTCGATATTTTGAGCAGCTCCTCATTAACAATGGTGTTAAGGGTGGCAAGATTATGGTGGGAGATGACATAAGTCGTGTCATCAGCAAAGAGAATGGGTTTCAGGTGTTGGGATATGTTTGGAAGTTCATTGATGTAAATGAGGAAGAGCAGGGGTCCAAGGACACTTCCCTGTGGAACTCCAGTATCAAGTGGCCATATTGATGAGGCTGTGTCTTTAATGGTGACATACTGATACCTATTAGAAAGGTAGGATTTAAAATATGCAAGCGCATGGCCTCTTATACCATAGTGGTCAAGTTTGTGGAGTAGGATGCCATGGTCTACTGTGTCAAATGCTTTTCTTAGGTCAATAAAAATTCCTAGCGGATATTCCTTGGTGCGTTATATTTATTTCTCATTGTTTTCTGAATGTAAAATTATATTTTCAATAAAATGTATTTCTTGTTAATATTTTTGGGTGTCTGGAACTGATTAATTGCATTTACATTATTTCTTACGGGAAATATTACTTCAGCTTTCGTCCATTTCGGATTTCAACCGACCTTCTGAAATGGATTACAGATGAAAACCAGGGTGCCACTGTACTGTAATTTCTGTATTGCAAGTATTTTTTTCATTTTAAATTAAAATTAGCCTAGGCTGCACTAATTATAAGATTTTGGTTCTGTACTGTATTCTTTCTTTGACAGATATGGCGAATAGCATCGGCAAAAATATCCTTTGTTGATACGAAGGATCTGGTGTGTGGCTCATTATTAATTTATTATTTCAGGTAAGAAATAAAATGCAGTATTTTCTTATATTCATTTAGTCAAGAATTTATGCCCGCAAAAGAAAGGTTACAATATAACACATTCAAGAGCTTGTAGTTATTAAACTGCTACAAACTAGTATTGTACTGTATATTTTTTCCCCTTAAATTTGATGATGGTATAGAATTATTGAAGTGGCATAATTATTATTACTGTTGTTATTAATGCTTTATTGCAAAGTAGTAATCACATGGAGTTCATTCAACTCAGTGTACAGTAGTATAAGTGGATCTGAAATGGAGAGGGAAGATAGAAGTAAAGTGCTGAGTGTATTATACAGGCAAAAGTGGGAATTCAGATGTGGTGTAGTTGCTTCGGGTTAAAAGTTACAATAAATACTTTCCTGTAGAATCAGCATTAACCCTTTCAGGGTTTCCGACGTGCAAGTACGGCTTACGCACCAGGGTTATTGACATACCTGGAGAGAGTTCCGGGGGTCAACGCCCCCACGGCCCGGTCTGTGACCAGGCCTCATACTAGTAGTATGCCTAAATTCTAGCGCCTTTAAATCTAGCGAAAGAAAGCTGGTGGGCCTACATATGAAAGAATGGGTCTATGTGGTCAGTGTGCACAGTATAAAAAAAAATCCTGCAGCACACAGTGCATAATGAGAAAAAAAAAAACTTTGCCAATGTTTTTGGTTTAAAGCAGCGACTTTGCACTGTATTTTCTTATGGTATTTATGGTTGTATTCTAGTTTTCCTGGTCTCATTTTATAGAATGGAAGACATATTACAGAAATTGAGATGATTTTTATTGGTTTCACAATGAAAAGTATCTTGAAATTGAGCTCAAAGTAGCAGAAATGTTTGATTTTTGCCAAAGTTTAAAAGTAAACGAATCATGCCATGCGTCCAATACACATCAACTGGTGAGTCTAATATTCTTTCACAAGTGCGCTGATATTATTTATACCATTTCTACACTAATGCAGTAGTCTGCATAACAGTAAATCTATTTTTTGTGAGAATAAAAATTCAAAGTGGAAAGCAAAAGAAATGTAAGAGGGGCATGGGGACATGACTAATGAACAGAGGAAATGTTATTTTAGTGCCAGGAATGTCTGTCTTGTTTATTCTGGACCCTATTTGGAAATTGGCATCTTTTGAAATTTGTATGAAATTGGCAAAATTGCTAATTTCTGACCACTTTATTGGATAGTTGAAATCGGTAAATTGGTGGTTTCTTGTACTCATTCAATAGAAAAAATGGAGTTCTAGTGAAATAGTTATGATTTTTGTCGACTAGTACACAGGAATTGGCTGAAAATAGGGCTCAAAGTCGGCAAAATCGCCGATGCTAACTTCGTGAGAGGATAATTCCGTAAGTTTTCCATCAAATTTCATACTTTTGGTGTCATTATGATCGGGAAAAGATTCTGTCTTTTCATAAGAATTTTTTTTTTTTTTTTTTTTTTTTCTCTGAAAAATTTTCGACCCTGAGAACACGTTTAGGAGAGAGCCTCTTGACCCTGAAAGGGTTAAAAGTTGGACTTTCAGAGAGGATGGCAGACAATAAGCATTTCAGGGCACTGAACGAGATTTTAAAAAATATTAGTATGCTGTCTAATGAAAATATTAGTGTTAACATGTCCTGTCAATTTTTGCAAAGCAGTGCCAATTGCCTTAACAATAGTGGGCCATGAGTGAGCCTGATGTGGTTAATGCACAGTTGTGCATGCTATTTCTGCAGTCAACATTGATGAACTAAAGATAATTAAAAGTCAAAGTGTTGGGTGATTAAAGAGGGCTAGTTTGTCACCATTTCAGACCAATGATTGTTAAACAAGATTGCACAGTACAGTAATATCAAAACTCTCGAGTGTGTTCAGTATGAGAGGAAGGAAAGAGAATAAGGTGAGTAAAAGCCAAAAGCTGATGGCTGTACAGAAATTAGGTACATGGAGACATTAAGAAATTAAAAAATGTTTTAGAGTAAATAGTTATAACCACATTTATGGAAAATAAATCATTACAAAAATTGTTTTAATTCCTTGAAGTTAGTGGTGCATAGTTTTCTTTCCCCAAACATGTGTTGTTGCTCGTGGGTAAAATGTGTTTTTAAAGGAAACCATCATCTTTTTTTCTCAGCATCTGTCTTCCACCAAGGCAAGGTGATCCAAAGAAAATACATTAACTGCCATTCCTTCAATCCCTGCCTTGCTAGAAGTGCTGACATCACAATTAAGATTACCCTCTGAGTGCAACATCCACATCCCTCCCTCAATAGGTAGGCACTGTCCTTCCCACCTACAGAACTTGAGTCGGGTTGTGAATTCCTTTTAAAAGTTTCCAACAGCACACTCTTAACCCTTTCACTGTTGTGACCCCCCAAAAATTTATTTTTGAGGTGGGTCCTATTGTACTACAACTCTGAAGCCCTGGTTGGTCCTGTTGTTCTACGTGATGAGCTCAGCTCTCTCAAATAAGCTGTGAGTGGTAAATTTGGGCTTAGATATGAGAGATTGGGTCTATGCAGTAAGTGTGCACCATATAAAAAAAAAATCCTGCAGCACAACTTTGCGGTTTATTGTCATATGGTTTTTATGATTGTATTCTTGGTTTCTTGGTATCATTTGATGGAGATCATTTTGACTGGTTTCAGGACTGAAAGTGGCATGAAACTGAGCTCAAAGTAATGGAAATGTTCAATTTTTGCTGATATTCCAGAGCACACAAATTTTCACTTGTCCAATATGCGTCCAACTGGTCAGTCGAATACGTGTTCACAAATGCGCTGACATTATTTATACAATTATTACAATAATTCAGTAGTCTGCATAACAGTAAATCTTCCATTTTTTGTGTGAACAAAAATTCAAAATGGAAAGCAAACGTAATATAGGAGGGGCCTGGGGACATAACTTATGAACAGAGGAAATGTTTTTTTAGTGCCAAGAATGTTTACAGTGTTTATTCTGGAGGATAAATAAGTATACAAGATGTGATGTAGGGCAAAATGACAGTAGTTTGTTAGACTATGTATTGGTAGATAAAAAAAAACTGTTAGGTAGACTTTGGGATGTACATGTTTATATATGGGGCTACAGATACATCGATCACTTTTTAGTTGTAGCTACAGTGAGAGTATATGGTAGATGTGATACAAGGAGAATGGAAACAGCAAGTAAGAGAGAAGTGAAGATTTATTAACTAAAGGAGGAAGCAGTTAGGGTAAGATATAAACAACTGTTGGAGGACAGAAGGGCTAGTGAGAGTATAGGCAATGGGGGTAGAAGATGTATGGGGTAAGTTTAAGAATATAGTGTTAGATTGTTCAGCAGAAGTTTGTGGTTACAGGAAAGTGGGTGTAGGAGGGAAGAAGAGCGATTGGTGGAATGATGTAAAGAGAGCAGTAAGAGAGAAAAAGTTAGCATATGAGAGGTTTTCACAAAGTAGAAGTAATGCAAGGAGGGAGGAGTATATGGAGAGAAAAAGAGAGGCTAAGAGAGTGGTGAAGTGATGTAAAAAGAGAGCAAATGAGAGGGTGGGTGAGATGTTATCAACAAATTTTGTTGGAAATAAGAAAAAGTTTTGGAGTGAGATTAATAAGTTGAGAAAGCCTAGAGAAAGAATGGATTTGTAAGTTAAAACTAGGAGAGGAGAGTTATTAAATGGAGAGTTAGAGGTATTGGGAAGATGGAGGGAATATTTTGAGGAATTGGTAAATGTTGATGAAGATAGGGAAGCTGTGATTTCGTGTATAGGGCAAGGAGGAATAACATCTTATAAGAGTGAGGAAGAACCAGTTGTGAGTGTGGGGGAAGCGCGTGGGGAAATGAGTAGAATGAAACGGGTAAAGCAGCTGGGATTGATGGCATAAAGATAGAAATGTTAAAAGCAGATGGGGATATAGTTTTGGAGTGGTTAGTGTTTTTATTTAATAAATGTATGGAAGAGGGTAAGGTACCTAGAGATTGGCAGAGAGCATGCATAGTTCCTTTGTATAAAGGCAAAGGGGACGAAAGAGAATGTAAAAATTATAGGGGAATAAATCTGTTGAGTATACCTGGTAAAGTGTATGGTAGTTATTATTGAAAGAATTAAGATTAAGATGGAGAGCAGGATAGCAGATGAACAAGGAGGCTTTGGGAAGGGTAAGGGGTGTATAAGCCAAGTGTTTGCGGTGAAACATATAGGCGAACAGTATTTAGATAAGGGTAAAGAGGTATTTGTTGCATTTATGGATTTGGAAAAGGCATATGATAGGGTGGATAGGAGGGCAATGTGGCAGATGTTGCAAATGAATGGAACGGGAGGTAGGTTATTGAAAGCGGTGGGAAGTTTTTACGAGAATAGTGAGGCTCAGGTTAGAGTATATAGGTGAGAGGGAGATTATTTCCCAGTAAAAGTAGGCCTTAGACTGGGATGTGTGATGTCATCATGGTTGTTCAGTATATTTACAGATAAGAGTTGTAAGAGAAGTGAATGCTCGGGTGTTGGCAAGAGGTGTGGGGTTAAAAGATAAAGAATCTAACACCAAGTGGGAGTTGTCACAGTTGCTCTTTGCTGATGACACTGTGCTTTTGGGAGATTCTGAAGAGAAGTTGCAGAGTTTGGTTGATGAGTTTGTTAGCATATGTGAAAGAAGGAAATTAAAAGTGAATGTAGGAAAGAGTAAGGTGATGAGGATAACAAAAAAAACTAGGTAATGGAAGATTGGATATCAGATTGGAAGATTGGAGGGAGAGAGTATGGAGGAGGTGAATGTGTTCAGATAATTGGGAGTGGACATGTCAACAGATGGGTCTATGAAAGATGAGGTGAATCATAGAATTGACAAGCAGAAAAAAGTGAGTGGTACACTGAGGAGTCTGTGGAGACAAAGAACTATATCCATGAAAGCAAAGAGGGAAATGTATGAGAGAATAGCTTACCAACACTCCTGTATGGGTGTGAGACATGAGTTGTGAATGATGCAACAAGGAGAAGGCTGGAGGAAGTGGAGATGTCATGTCTGA